AAGTGCATAATGCACTGCAAATCCTGTCCCTCGGTGTTTAGGACACCTTAAGTGCACCTAGGCACCGCATTCCATTATATTTATGTGTACTAAGACACTTAATAGCTCAATTCCCATGCTTAAAGCATAAATAAAAATTATATGAACCATAATAAAATTCCCTTTTTATATTCCAAACCTAATTAAACATTTAATTTAGTTAAATAAGCCTTTAAACATGCTAATAATAAAAGTATGGTTCAATAACAATATTTCAATATCACCAATTTCAATAAATAAATTATTTCAACCAATCATGCTTCACAAATATTTCACCAAAACCATTCCAAATCAATCAATCCAATTCAATTCACCAATTCCAACCAATACCTAGCATGATATTAATGTAAAATCAACTAAAATAAATCCTAGCATGCTTCTACATGCTTAATAATTATCAAGTATGCGTACGTACCTCGTATATGATCTCAAAATCGCCACGACTACACAAAACCGCTCACTTGGAAATCTCCTACAACCTACAATTACCAATAGACGTTAATATCTATTTATATTAAATTTCCAGGAATATAAACACTCTTTAAAACACTATTAATCCCTCTAAAACATGCTGAAATTTATTTAGAACCACTTATTTTTATTCCTAATTAATGGGTAATTAAAATCCTTTCAAGAAAACTTTATTCTAACCTCTATATAAAAATTCTAGCAATATAAAAACCCTTAAACTTGCTGTAATTTAATTTAAAAACACCAATTTTAATAGTATTAATAAACCACAATTAATTTTGTTTAGTAAACATCAATTTAGAAACCTAGGGTTTATCAATTTGGGGCTTTTTTCATATAAAAACCAAATCTGAAAATTTCATATGTTAAACATCATTAAAAACATCATAAAATCATTACACAACACCCAAAACAATAATTAACCAAAGCTAAATTAGTTTTAAAACAAGAAGTTTTATTTTTATTATTTATTTATAATAGCACACGCACACACGCACGGGGGAAGGGGGTGCTGCCACCCTCCACGCCGACGGCTACTGCTGCCAATTGATGCTGGTGGTGGTGGCCGGCCGGTGGATGGTAGCGGTGGTGGCGGATGCCCACCGTGTGGTGTGGGTGGCGTGTGTGAGGTGAGGGAGAGGGGAATTAAAGGAGGAAAATTAAGAGAGAGAGAGAGAGAGAGAAGGAGAGAGAGAGAAAGTTTACCTATTTGGAATTATCACCTTGGGCAAAAATCTTATTTTTGCTTTTGGGTGAGTATTTATATTCCTCTCTAAACCCTCTTCCTACATGAATTTCCATATTTGCCCTTAATGATTCTCACTTCCACTCAAATTGGTCTTATGACTTTATTTAAAATTCTTTTGACTTTAAAACTCCGTTGTAATTTAAATATGCCCCAAAGTTTACAAATATAAAAATAAAATATTATTCCCAAACCATATAAATAAATAATAAATGAGTTTTTAACTAAAATACACCTTTTTAAATATTAAAATACCATAAATAATTCATTTCAATTTATTTAAGTACGTTAAAAAATAATACTTTGAATTTATATACGTATAAAAATACCGTGTATTATAGTCTACCCCCTTTAAAAGAAAGTTTCGTCCCGAAACTTGGGTAACGAAAAACAAAATCCACTCTCAATGAGTGAAAGAATACCAACTTTTGAAAATATTTTTCCTCATTTTGTGTAATATTGTTGTACTCTTTTGACATACATCTACTTTTAATGTCTTCTTGGAACCAAAAGTACTCGAAATTACCATTAAAAATGTGCAAAAAGCACTAAAATTAATAGGAATTCAGGGGAAAAGCGTGAAATTCTACTACATTCTACCCCCCTTAAAGAAAAGAAGTTACGTCCCCGTAACTCAACATACCTTAAACAACTCAGGGTATTTCTTTCTCATCTCATCCGCAGCTTCCCAAGTTGCTTCCTCATATTCTTGGTTAGTCCATAGCACCTTAACAATCTTAATTTGTTGCGTGTACTATGCACCTTATTGTCAAGAATCTTGACAGGTCATTCCTCATAGGTTAAGCTTTGATCTATCTCAATTGTTTCGGGTTGTAGCACATGTGAATTATTAGGTATGTACCTTCTCAATTGAGATATATGAAATATATCATGCACCTTGCTCAGCTCCATAGGTAAGGCCAACCTATAAGCTACTTTGCCTATTCTTTGTAATATCTCATATGGACCATTATACTTTGGGCTAAGTTTCCCTTTCTTCCCAAATCTCATGACACCTTTCATAGGTGACACTTTCTACAACACTTTTTCACCAACTTCAAACTCTTCTTCCCTACGCTTCAAATCTGCATAACTCTTTTGACGATCCTGTGCCGCTTGAATCTCCTTCACTTTCTTGACTATATCTTTAATCATTTGAGGCCCTAAAATCATTGTTTTACTTATGTCGTTCCAACACACAGGGCTACGACACTTCCTCCCATACAATGCCTCAAATGGTGCCATACCAATACTCGCATGGTAAGTATTGTTATAAGAACTCAAGTAAGTCCAAGCTATCTTCCCATCCACCCTAGAAGTCAATAACACAGGCTTTTAGCATATCTTCCAAAGTTTGAATCGTGTTTTTAGTTTGCCCATCTGTGGTAGGGTAAAATGTTGTACTCTTCTTTAGTGTCGTACCAAAGTTTTCATGAACACTTTTCCAGAACTTTGAAAGAAACCTAGAATCTTTGTCAAACATGATGTTTGCTGGAACCCCATGTAATCTCACCACATTCTTAATGTAAGCTTTTGCAAGTTGATCCATTTTCCAAGTCTCCTTCATTGGTATAAACACTGTAGGTTTGGTCAATCTATCCACCACAACTCAAATGGTATCGTTTCCACTCTTTGACTTTGGAAGGCAAGTAACAAAATCCATTGAAATATAATACGATTTCCATCCAGGTACCTCTAGTGGTTGCACGATTCCTTGTGGTCTCTTGTTTTCGATCTTTACCTTTTGACAGATTAAGCACTTCACTATTCAGCAACTTCATTCTTCATCTTAGGCCCCAATACACCTTCTTCAAATCTTTATATAACTTGTCTTATCCAGGGTGTATTGAATATGGTGTATTGTGCCCTTCTTTCATTCTCATGAATCTTCGCACTTTTGGTGTACACACCATCTCCCTTTGTACCTCAAACTTCCATCCTCATGAATCTTGAAATATATAGCTTGTCCTTGTTTTATTTTCTCACGAATCATATCCAACTTTACACCTCCTGCCTGATTTTCGCTTATCTCATCAAATATCGTTGTGTGTATGCTCAGATTCTCAAGTATACCCTTCAACACTCCTTTTTCTACTACCTCCAAGTTCATTTTACTCATTTCTGTACATAACTCGTCAGCCACTACCAAAGTATTTACTCCATGGTTTGTTTTGCGACTTAGAGCATCGCCGACTACATTTTCTTTCCCTTCATGGTATTGGATGTCTAAATAGTAGTCTGTTGCAAACTCCAACCACCTCCTTGGCGCGAGTTAAGATCTCTTTGAGTGAAGATGTATTTTAAGCTCTTGTGATCCGTATAGATCCTATACTTCACTCCATACTGGTAATGCCTCCAAATTTTCAATGCAAAGATGATTGTAGCTAATTATAAGTCATGAGTAGGGTAGTTTGCCTCGTGAGGCTTCAACTGCCTTGACGCATATGCAATTACCTTACCATTTTGCATAAGCACACATCCTAAAACCATTTTTGGATGCATTGCTATACACATCATAGACTCCACTATCATCTGGTAATGTCAAGACTGGTGTGGTAATCAACTTTTCCTTCAAAAGCTGAAACGCTTCTTCGCACTTCTCATCCCATTCAAACTTACGATCTTTCTTCATCAAGGAAGTTATAGGCTTAGCAATCTTTGAAAAGTCCTTTACAAAACGCTTATAATACCCTGTTAAACCTAAGAAACTCCTAACATCAGAAACTGTCTTTGGCGTAGGCCACCCTTTTACTGCTTCTATCTTTGCTAAATCTACTTCTACCCCCTCCTTGGATACAAAGTGACCCAGAAATCCTACCTTCTCTAACCAAAACTCACACTTGAAAAACTTCGCATAGAGCTTGTTCTCCCTTAACGTTTGTAAAATTGCCCTTAAATGTTCCACATGTTCCTCCTTATTCTTCGAATACATCAGTATATCATCTATGAACACTACAACAAACTTGTCCATAAATGGATGGAATACCCTGTTCATCAAGTTCATAAAAGATTGCTGGAGCATTCGTCAACCCAAATGGCATCACCATGATATCGTAATTCCCATACCTTGTCCTAAATGTTGTCTTAGGTATGTCCTCATCTGCAATTCTCAACCGAAGATATCCTGACCTCAAATCAATCTTGGAAACACACAAATGCGCCCTTCAATTGGTCGAATATGTCATCAATTCTTGGTAATGGGTACTTGTTCTTTATAGTGACTTTATTCAACTCTCTAGAGTCAATACACAACCCCATACTCCCATCTTTCTTCTTAGCAAACAACTCTGGAGCTCCCCAAGGCGATGGACTTGGTCTAATGTATCCGTTTTTTAACAAATCCTGCAGTTGCTCCTTCAACTCACTCATCTCTGCAGTTGCCATTTGATATGGTGCCTTGGAAATTGGTGTTGTTCATGGGACCAATTTTATTGTGAAGTCAATTACTCTCTTAGGTGGCATCCTTGGATTCCCCCCTGGAAACACATCTAGAAACTCATTCACTACTTCTATATTTTCTGTTTTAGCCGTCTCTTCATAATCCGAATTCCTTATACTACAGAAATACATTGGGTGCCCCTTCTTGAAGTACCTAGTCAACTTCATCATAGAAATGATTCTAGCACACTTGGTTTCCCCATGCTTCCAATTAGTTACTAATTCACCCTCAAACGTCCTTAATTATACTTTCTGTGATCGACAATGAATCTCTTCGTTATACTTGCTTAACCAGTCCATTCCTAAGATGATATCGAAGTCACTGAACTTGAATTCAATGAGATCAGATAAGAACTTCTTTCCTTTAATCTCTAATGACACATCCTTAAAGGTTTTGGTACACTACACTACCCCTCTCGTAGGAATAACTATAGGTACATCTATAACATCTACGGTTTTCAAATAGTGTGGTAGTTTTGAAACAATAGTATTTGAAATGAAAGAAAAAGTTGCACCAGAATCAAACAAAACTTTAACAGGAACATAGTTAATGAAGAAAGTACTAGTAATCACATCCTTTGTTATGTTAGTTTCATGCCTACTTATCAAATTCTGTTTTCCTAGAGCTCCTCCCTTCACCTGATTATTCGTCCATTGTTGCCGTTCTTTACCCCATTCTATTAAGGCCCTTTGTTTCCTGCATAGTTGTTGTTCCCTTGAAAATTCCTTTGTGGGTTCCCTCCTTGGTTGTTGCCTTGTTTGTATCGGTTAGAATCCTTAGAGAAACACTCATATTCCCTATGGCCTAACTTGTTGCAAGCATGACAAGTAACCAAATTTCCCTCACGGTCTTTACCAGGGTAAACATTTCTACACTTATTACATTAGTAATGCTGTAACACCCCATTCTCTTAGAATTGGAATCGGTAGTGGAACTACGCCTGAAGGGGAGGCTACTTAACTTTGATTGGAAAAGTCAAGCTTTACCTAGGTCTAAAAGTTAAATTTAAGTCATTTAAACATCCAAATTAAGTTGTTTTACCTAAGCGCAAACTAAGTGATGAAAAAGAAATTAACAAACGAACTTAAACTAGGCAAATCAATTACATTCAAAAGCCAAGGGCGAAACAACCCTTATCGGCCAAACTGAAATCAAACTAAAACCTAATTCAAAGTCCTTACACAATTAACTAACAATAAAGGCATAAAAGCCCAAAAGTTGGGGTCTAAACTCTCAATCCCCAACCCATCGCCACAAAGATCAAATAAATAAATAGAACCTGAAAATTACAACAACGTTCCACAATCAGTGGGGAGCAACTAGCAGTTCTCCCTAAAATCAGAATTAGAAGGTTTCAGGCTTAAATTAATAGAAAGAAACTACAACCACAAACAACTTGTAAACTCAAATGAAACCACTTAAAACAGTCAAACAATACAAACTATGGAATATATTATAGTCAACTTAAAACGGAAAATCAATATTAAATCACTTAATCTCAATCATAATTTATATAAACTTCAAAATAAGTAATAATTTCATAGTTTTAATATTTCAAACTCAAAACATTCAAAACAGCAGAATTGGCATGGAGGGAACGCTAGTGGCCTCACAATCCACTTCCTAAGATTTGTTAGGACGAAACCCTGGTCATCTCGTAGAAGACCGTGTCTAAGATTGGCCAAACTCTCGACTATGGGTAGATGCCAATCGACCTCACACTACCCCCGGACGACAACAATTAACCCTGGTTGAGCTACCTAAGACTCACAGTCAAGGTAGTTAGCATGTTCATTAACCATCGGGAAGCAACTTGGCCTCACACTTGACTATGGCCCCACACACAATTCAAAAATCACTTAAAATACTAAATATAATATATTTCACTTAGAAATATGCAGAGAAGCCCAAATGGTCTTACACTCAATTCAAATTGAATGAGGAAATCATATTTCTTAAACTCAATAATCATAAATATACATTTAAACATGGGTTTTAAAAATTAGGCTAAGAATTACTATACCCAGCCATTGATGACCTAATAAAACTGACACAAAATTAATGAAACAAAATTTGCTTGGTTTGGTTTTTTATTGATACGAAATTTTGTTGGTGTCATATGATGCGTCAATTTATAATGGTAAATGTCACAAATTTTAATTTAATTATAATTAAGGAATAATTTTTATTTCTTATCATAAACACTGTCAAAATTTATCTTATAATAGTATGTATATAAATCCTATATCTAAAGATGATAATTTTAAAAGATAATTTTTAGTTTTTTAAATAAGTTAAATCCTAATAAATCAATATTCGTCGTTTTTACTTACGTGGAAAAATTCTTAGATCTCATCCGTCACTTTTGCTTATTTGGCAAACGAATTTTTTAATTCCAAAAATAAAATAGAAATCTAACTTTTAATTGGTTCAAAATATACCTTTGCTTATGTGGCGCGCCGAATGCTCTCGAAAAATTCCTACTTTATTTATATATATTAGATTAGATTAGATTTATTTTTTTATGTAGCTTTCTTTTCTTTTTTCTATTAGTTTTTCCAGAGATAGTAAGACTTTTAGACTCTAGTAGTCTGTGTGTGTGTGTGTGAGAGAGAGAGAGAGATAAGCAAAATTAAGTATTATTTATTTTTATTTTTAATAAATTCAAGTGTCATATAAGTAATATCAACGAATAAGGTGGCATTTTAAATTATATCATAGAAATAAAAATCATATTTAAGTATGCAGTTATATAAATGAGGCATTTTTCGGGAGCATTCGGTGTGCCATGTAGGCAAGGCTAGTATTTCGACCAATGAAAATATAGATTTGTATTCAATAGGCACATAAGCAAAATTAACGAATGAGATTTGGAAATTAAAATTCACGTGCCACATAAGAAAAAACAACCAATGATTATATGAGATTTTAATTATTTAAAAAAAAATAAAAACAATTATTAGAGCTAAACATTTGCCATTTTATGAGTAGTTGTTCACAAATAAAAAAAAACCCGATAGTTGTTCGCAAAACACTCTGGTTCCAGCACCAGTCCTAACTTAGTAACTTATCTTCTCTGTGCAAAATCTAGCATCAACCGGAACTGCAGTATATCAAGAACTTGTTAAACTCAAACAAATAAAGAGAGAAGAAGGGAATGGCCTTTACTTATTATTCTTTTTTATGTAGTCCCTTATCAACACCATTTCCATTCAAATCTTTACGCTTGTCTTCTATTTCTTTCCCTCTTTCACCACATTTTAATGGCCGATTTTCAACAACACTCACCCCTCTTTTCAGCCAAAGTATTTCCATGGAACCCAACAATACCACCCACTACGAGGTACTTTCTTTTCCTATTTAAGATACCCTTTTTTATTTAGTTTTCGGGCGCGTCGTGATCTCGAGTGTATGGTATAATTTCGTAATGTATTGTGCAATTGTGCATTGCTTAAGCTTGTGGAAATAGTATAGTTTCTATTTCATTTTGATTTTTCTGACGACAAAGAATTTAGACTCAATTTCTAGTTTTCTACCCTGATATTACCTTTATTGTAACCATTACCATTTCACTTGTTTGGTTCAACTATGGAAAGGATCGGAATCCTTTTGTGTTTGAGGAGGGTAAGGGTATTTGTTATCTTAGATTTTAAAGTAGTAACAAATGGGTGGAATCCCTTACCCTTAGGTAAAGATAATTGTTACCAAATCTCTTAACCAAACATTTGATAACCGATAACGGTAATGGCTTAACCAAATCCCTTTCTAATCTAAAAAATACACAAACCAAACATGGTCTTAATGTTATTGGGCATAATTACATCAAATAGTGTATTAATGAAGGGCATTGCTATATCCTTTCTACATGTTCTCGTTTTGTTGTTTGGATCAATGGGACAATGGGTCACTTGTCTTGGTTTGGGTTGGTGAATTATTGTATATATCTTCCTTACCAATTCTCTATTTGGTCCTTCACTACCTAGTTTTTGGTGATAGGCTCATCCCCAAAAGGAATGCATTTGGTACTCTATTTTACTTAGAAAGAAGTTATATAATAAAATCGTTCCTGAATATTTGTTTATTTCCAGATTTAATGCATCTTCTGGAATCGGTTTCACCCCATTGTACTACCACTTATAAAAAATATTATAATTAATTTTACTAGTGCACTTGGATCATTGCTCCATACCTCTACCCTAGAAGCTAAACTAGTAGAAAAAACGGAGAAATTAGACAAAGAAGGATTTTATTCTGGAGATTTTAGTAGTCATCTCTCTGCACATGTGACACAACCATAAGCGTGTTAAGTGTTAACAGTGACAACTATAGATTTATTAATAATAATTATTTTCCCCCTTTCTTGGGTGTTAGATTTTGATAGTTTAACATGAGGCTTACTATCTTATATTTTTATAGCCATTTTTTTTTGCCCCCAACTAAATGCTAACATGAAAACCTTTGGAAGTGAAACATAATGTAGTTTTCTGATGGATTTTCTGATTTGGAGCTAAGAGTGTTGCTTAAAGATACAGGGGTGCAAAGTTCTAAAGAAATACAGGTGGACGTTGATGAAAGTTCATTAGCTGTAAGAATTAAGCAACTTGGATCCATCACAACACTGATGGAAACTAAACAGCTCTATGATAGGATTAAACCCGGGGAAACTATATGGTAAAAATACAATTTTTGCATGCTTATGTTCTTTGAACACTCCACTTCTGGACAACCCTTTTAAGCTCTAATATGCGTGATAGGTATCTTGATGAGGACCAATTGGTTATCAACTTGAGGAAACAAGACCAGGAGCTCAAGTGGCCTGATATCATGGAATCCTGGGAATCCCTTAGTACTGGTGTCTTTCAACTTCTCAAAGGGACATCAATCTATATAGTTGGTGATTCCACAGAGATCAATCAGAAGGTTGCTGAAGAGCTTGGAGTTGGTCTTCGGTATGATCCTCACTTTCCAGGAAAATACTTTATAATAAATATGTAGGATTGACTGATTGAACTAGCTTTGTTGTTTGACTTGTGTATATGTCCTGATTTTATAGGATAAATTTATTGGAAACGAACTGATCTTATACTGAAAGTTTAACCTAATATCTTTTGAGGTGCTTTATAATTGAGAGCATTACTAGAGTTTTGGTTCCAGTCATATGTGATTAGCTTCTTTTCCTGCTTTCTTTATCAGTTGATAGTTAGGATTTGAAATTCATAATTCCCTAAAAATTTTCATATTAGGAATTTGAAAGGTTGAATGACTTAATCTTATCATGATAAGGAAGGGATGATGCACACAGAAAGAGGGGGGGAGGGGTAGGGAAGAGGGGTGAGGATTAAGAATGTCTTAATTATGTCATAATAAGGTTAGTTTGACAGAGGTCTTTCCGCTTCTCAGAAGTGAGGGTAATTTTAAGATGTACCTCAAGAATTCCTACAATAATCCTTTTATTTTTGGGGTGTTAAATGTTAATTACCCTCATTCTACAAATGTTTTTGACATCCTTTCATGTTATACACTTTTTTTATGATCTTTTTGGGTGCTGCGTAAACTTTGAAATTTGATTATACATTCAATTTTTTTTTGGTCTTAACTGGTGAAAGAGAGGAGGACCACATCTGTTTGGTATCCATGAAGGCAGGGAGAGCAAAGGCTTGCCTTTGCTGCACAACACATTCGTCTTGGTGGGGAATTTGTAGGTAGATACTATTGCAAGCTTAATTCCTTATCAAGAACAAAATGTATTCATAATAAGCTAGGATGTTTTTGTTGTGTGATGGACCCAAGTCAACCACCGTTGGTGTACATGAGGCGCGAGAAAGGGCGGCAACAACAAGCATAGGGAAGGCATTTCTTTGCAACAGGACAAAGGCAATTAAGAAAAGATGAAGGAAGAAGGGCAACCAACTTTAGCTATGTTTATTGATGGATTTTCTAATTTACTAAGTTAGTCACATGTATTCTCCTTAAGATCAGCATTGACCACTAGTATAAGAATGATAGTTTGAGTATGAAGGAGATTATCCAGAAAATTGTAAGGAAAACACTAGAGAGTTGCAACCTCAAGTTGCTTGGAGAATTATAGCCTCAAGCTACTACCCCTTGTATCCTTCCGATTAATATATGAACAATCAGTCGTTCTTCTTCTAGTTTGTGTGAGTTTCGTTGAATCAGTCCCGGTCTATAACAACTTGGTATCAGAGCGGTGGTCCTGTGACTGCCGTTGTCGGAAACCTCCCTGATATATTTTACAAAAAACAAAATGGTGTTGACTTTGTCCCAGCGCGTAGACGCGGTGGATGATAAGGTGGAATAGATTGAGTCCAGGCTAGCGGCGATTGAGGGCAAGCTTGACTCCCAAGAAGCCTCTGTCGGTCGAACCGTGGCGGAGGTTGTGAATTCAGCCATGGTAGATGTCAGAAAGCCATGACCAAACACTTTACTGCTGTGTTCGAAGCAGAGATGAAGAAGCAAGATGAAGGCTTGTTGAGGCTAGAAGGCCCAATTGACCGTTTTCGCCATGACTAGGAAATGCAGACGACCCTGAAGGTGAAGGAAAATGAGAAGTTTCGAGAGGAAATTCGGGCAGCCGTGAACGGCCAGCCCGTTACCAGGCCACCGCCTCTCATCAACCTAGAGGCGGAAACTAGTCAGGCACACGGGAGAATGTAGTCCATACACCAATCAAAGGGGAGTACGGAATGCCGGAGTGGAGGAGAAGGGACCCGCAAGGGTGGCCGAAGGAAGGAGGCGAAGACGGTGGTCGTTGGAAACATAAGAAGCTTGAGATGCCCACTTTTGAAGGTAAAGACCTTGATAATTGGGTGATGAGGGCTAGGATGTATTTTGATTTCTATAGATTGACGGAGGAAGATAAGGTGTCGGCGGCCGTGGTGGCAATGGACGGGGCGGCGCTGCAGTGGTTCCATTGGGAAAACAAAAGTAGGCCGTTTGGGGGTTAGGCGGATTTGAAGGACGGTTTGCTTCACGAATTCCGGCCGTCGAATGCCGGCAGCCTCCACGAACAGTGGCTCGTCGTGACTTAGTCGGTGACCATGGAAGAATACTGTCAGAAGTTCATAGAACTTGCTTTTCCATTGGAGGATATTCCCGAAAGTCTTATGCTAGGTCAGTTCGTGAATGGATTGAAACATGAAATAAAAGCAGAATTGAGGCTATTGAACCCTGCAAGTTTGGAGAGAGCCATGGATTTGGCTGGGCGTATAGACGAAAGAAACAGGGTGAATGGAGGAAGGAAGGGGAGTATAGGTTCGTGGAAGGCTAGACCAAGCCATGTGGGCCCAACCAGACTAATTCCGCGGGCCGAAGTGGTGGGGGCCTAATACAGTCATATAGCTTACCCTATGCCCCCCTAGTCAGTCTTGGCCTCGAGTCCCTGAGTCACAAGGCTCCATTAATATGTGCTGGTTCAATACGACCCAACAATCTCAGTAGCAGTGGGCCCAAAATAGGAAAAACGGGCCAAAGGACTCAGTTTTCGTTGTGATGAACGTTAGGGAGTCGGACACCATTGTAAGTGTAAAGAGTTGAGTGTTTTGCTTGTCAAATTTGGGGGTGAAGAGGAGGAGATGAAGGCAAGTTACTTGGAGGATAGAGAAGAATAGGAGGAGCCCGAACCCAATGTTGAGGTTTCTCTTTGCTCGGAGGTCGGAATCTCCACCCCGAAGACAATGAAGTTGAGGGGGGTTGTTAAAGGAAGGCAAGTAGTAGTCATGATAGATTCGGGAGTGACGCATAATTTTATCTCCACAACGCTTGTTGAGGAGGCAAGTATTCTCTTAACGGAAGGCGGGGAATTCAAGGTGTCGCTAGGCAATGGTGATACCGTGCGTGGTAAGGGTATGTGTCGAGGAGTAAGGGTCAAATTGAATGGTGGAGTGACGGTGGTGGAAGATTTTCTTTCGCTTGGATTAGGCAATACCGATCTCATCCTTGGGGTACAATGATTGGAAAAACTCGGAGCGGTCTCCACAAATTGGAAAACTCACAAGATGCAATTCACGGTGGCCGGAGTGTTGGTGATGCTCACCGGAGACCCTTCATTGGAGGCGGCTTTGGTTTCACTCAAAGCCATGTTTGGTACAATTAGTAAGCAAGGAAATAGTCTATGGGTGGAAATCAATCCAAGAAGCTATCAAGAAGAAAATGGGCTTCTTGGAGGTGTTGGGGTGAATGGTAGAGCTGGGCCGCCATCCTTACAAGCTCTTTTAGAGCAATTTCAGAATGTATTCTACTTACCTAGTGGACTACCACCTTTTAGAGGCAAAGAACATGCAATCCTATGAAGGAGGGTCGAGACCCGGTTAGCGTAAGGCCATATCGATACCCCAAAATTCAAAAAGACGAGATTGAGAAGATGATACGGGAAATGCTAGAAGCCGGTATTATCAAGCCATAGACGAGCCTTTTTCCAAGCCCGGTCTTGCTAGTTAAAAAGAAGGATGGATTGTGGCGGTTTTATGTCGATTACCGAGCTCTCAATCGAGAAACCGTGCCGGATAAATATCCAATTCCGGTCATTGATGAGTTGTTAGATGAGCTTCATGGCGCGACAATATTTTCAAAGTTGGATTTAAAATCCGACAATCATCAAATCCGAGTCAAAGCCGAAGACACCCTCAAGACGGCTTTCCAGACTCACGAGGGGCATTATGAGTTCCTCGTAATGGCATTCGGATTGACTAATGCCCCGACGACGTTCCAATCTCTTATGAACGACATCTTTAGGCCGTCCGTAAGGAAATTCGTATTGGTCTTCTTTGACGATATCCTTGTGTGTAGCAAGAGTGAAAGCGAGCATCGAGATCATTTGCAACAAGTGCTCATAAAGTTGATCGATCATGAGTTGTATGCCAATTATAAGAAGTGTGAATTTGGTAGCCAAAAGGTGGCATATTTGGGACACCTAATCTCACGGTAGGGAGTTGGTGGGCCAACCCACGAAATCTTATAGAGTTAAGGGGATTCCTTGGCTTAACGGGCTACTACCGCAAATTCTTAGCCCATTATGAGTGGCCGGACCTTTAACCGCACAACTCAAGAAAGACGCTTTTGGTTGGTTCGAGGAGGCATCACGAGCTTTTGTGAAACTCAAGGAGGCCATGACTACCGCCCCGGTTCTTGCAATGCCTGACTTTCGAAAATAGTTCATTCTAGAAACCGATGCTTCAATGGGCTTGGAGCATTTTTGATGCAAGAGGGCCGCCCCATTGCTTACTATAGCAAACTCTTGGGCATGAGGGCTCAAGCTAAGTCCATTTATGAGAAGGAGCTCATGGCGATTTGTTTGGCCATTGTGAAATAGAGACACTATTTGTTAGGCCGGCATTTTGTGGTTCGAACTGATCAACAAAGTCTCCGTTTCATTACACAACAACATGAGGTGGGCAATGAGTATCAAAAGTGGATGAGAAAGCTGGTGGGATTTGATTTCGAAGTTCAATATAAGCCCGGAGCTTCCAATCGAGTAGTCGGCGCACTTTTTAGGAAGCAGTGTGAGTTGAGTGCTTTGATATGTTCTCAGAAGAGTTGACTAGAGAATTGGAAGGAGATGAGTGGATCGCTGAAATTAAATGGAGCCTTAAGCCCATTGAGATTGGGCCTAATGGTTTCACTTTGGTGAATGGCCACATTCAATACAAAGGTAGAATTGTGCTACCTAAATCAGCTAGCATCATCCCAAAATTGTTGTATGAGTATCATGACTCACCTACCGACGGCCACGACGGCGAGGTGAAAACCTACCTCCAGGTGGTGGCCGAATGGTATTGGCCGTGTATGAGGAAAGCGTTAGGGGAGTATGTGGGGTCGTGCGACATGTGCCAGCAGAATAAGGTATCTCAGAAAAGTCCGGGCGGTCTCCTCCAACCCCTTCCGGTGCCGGTGGCCGTATGGGAAGATGTGTCTATGGATTTTATCGAAGGGCTTCCCTTATCAAAAGGGATTGATGTAATCTTGGTGGTCGTCGACCGGTTCTCAAAGTACGCGCACTTCGTGGGGTTGAAACACCCAAAGCTGTTTGTCAATGAGACTATGAGGTTGCACGGTTTTCCTT